CCCCCGGCGCTTCTCCTGCCCGCCCGCACCCACGGGCCGGGGCAGGTGAGTGGCTGTCTCCGTGCCCATCGCCGTGGCCGTCACCTGCCTCCTCGCCACGGGCCGACGGTTCCCCCCGGGAAGCCCTGCGAGAACAAGTTGAGATGCTCCTACCGCGAACTCTCCTCTGCCCGCCCCGGTCCGTCCCTACCCGGAGGAAGGCAGGCGTGTGAGAGCTCCGCGAGGAGCACCTGTAAATCCCCCAGTGACGGCCATCGTAACCATCACACCGCAAATGGTCACCTCTTCTTCCCACCTCGTCAGCTGCCAACTCCCCATAACATTCACAGATATGTAAAGTTCATAGCAATGAGGCAACTGGGGCCTGACTCTCAAGACCCACAGCTTAGATAGATGACAAGGTGAGAGCGAACATGTGAACTCCCAAATTCATTAAAATGAGCGCTCTTGCTTTATAAGGTGAACAGATTCCCCTACCCACCCCAGAAAAATAACTGTGAAGCACCAACCTTCCAGGTCTGATCTGACATCCTTCCCTGGAGAGCAGTCCCTGCCACATTAGCCCAGTCAATCAAACACACCACTATAGAGGTAACAGGACGGAGCAAGTGTAATGACCGTTTTGCATCCCGTGTTACAGTCCAGCATTTTGCCTTGCTCAAGTCTTGACAAAATAACAGGATACACCCTCAGTAACAACATGCCCCTAATATTATGCATCACTTGAATATTAGTGGTTGGTTGTAGGGCTGGTCAACTTCTGCAAACAGCATTCTTGGCCCTAAATAGTATTTCAGCTGATGTGGGGCGAAAAGGAATTACTGTTTGCCTATAAAGTATTTAGCCCCAAGATAAATCCTTGGCTAAAGCTACAACTGGACATCACATGCTTCTCCACCTCTTGCCAAAAATAACAAAGAATTTCTTTATTTACTTGCACAACTACACGTACTCTGCTATTTTTTCTCACTACTTGTTCCAGTATCTTCCACATGTCTGCTTGATTTTAACCTTTAATTAGGTCCAATCCTTGTAACAAAGATTGTTAGGACGTGAAGTCAGAATTGGAATTAATTAACTGGAGAAGACAGAGTTGTTGTACAGAAATACTAAAACACTAAAACCTAACATTGGGGTTACTACCATAACACCACCAATACTCAATCTTGTAAGTAATGAGACACATAATTTAGGGGTGAGGAAAAATAGGTGGTTGTCAATGTTAGCAAATTATAGCTCTCAGGAGCTGCTCATCATATATATTGCTTACTAATTTTATAAATATTAATCAAGCTTCTAAAAAATACCCTACATAATTATTCCTATACATTTTATTAACATATAATCTGTTACAAAAGATAAATGTTGCTGAACATTATTGTTGATTACTTCACCATACAAACTCTAAAATGACTTAATAAATTATTAGGTGTATGCTAATTCAATCTCCATTTAATCTGCAAACTTAAATTGGTGCACACCACCCCAAACTGTGATCTACTGACTAGTCTCAACATAATTTTTACAGCTGTTTTTTAGGATCTGTTTCTTGCAATTTTGTCATTTTTCAGCATGCAACTTCTTATCACTTGATAACCAAAACAATCCAAAAACAGTTGTAAACTTGAACGATACTAATCCTCTAAAAATAGACAAAATTATGAATCCAATGCCCCACGGATACGTTTGCACAATTTTAACCAACTTCTAGAAACATTTTAATTTAGGTTTAGAAAAGAAGGAGTGATTTTGGTGTCATTAACCTCTCTTATTGTACTGGTCTCTCGCTAGAATTTTTGAGTTGGTCGTGTTTGCTAAAAAACATCACCTCCCAAAACATGTCACCACTGTCAGTTTTGTCCTCACATTAGTCTTTGCTAATTAGATCAAGCTAGGCTTCCCCTCAACTTGAAACAGGAGTATCATCAGTGTGTAATCAAACTCTCAAATCTCTTCGAAACTCCTTCAGTTGCTTTCGTGGAGCGTAGAATCTCTTTGAAGATCCATCATTTGTACTTACTGGGAGCTGTTCCAGTGAAAGACTTCCTTGTTGTTCAAGGAACCTTGCTCACATTTCATCGGATTTAGGGCCCAAATGGCACTTGAGGGCTGGCCAGTGCCACTAAGGAGCTGAAGAGCTGAACCTCCTCCATCAGTCAGTGACTTGTAGGGGCTACTTTGGCCACAAAAGCGTTTTTAACTGCCCCCAACACATGGCAAGATAACATTATCAGCGAGTTTTAAACACTCTGAGGAACATTTCTATCAGAGGTTAAACGTGACTGTGTCTGAGAAGACCTCACATGATTTTTTTTTTCTCATCTGAAAAACAGTAAGCAGTTCCTTGCCCTAATTTTGTCTTGGCAGTACATTCGTGCTGGCAGGCAACTGAGGGGTTAATATGGAAACTCCTGTTACACCTGTAAGTACTGTGGACTACTGATACCGTTTGGAGGGGAGTGTTTTGTTTCAAAGTACTTAAGTAACTCAGTGGAAGGAGGCCCATGTCATTTAGATTCACTTATCCAGTTCAGCATTGAAACACACACCTCCACAGGCTCTTGTTGCTCCCTGTTTCTATGCCTTTGCAGAGGAGAAGCAGTAGTTTGGTGTGAGTGCTCTGAGTGAAAAGAAGAAACAGAGGTTAGAAGAAGGTATTTCCAACAGACGCAATCTATTATGCAGCAAACAGAGATGATCTAAGGACAAACACAGGCTGGAAGCTTTTGGCAGGACACCTACCAATGACATTTTGTGCTATTTTTGTTATCAAAATCCCAAGCGTAGACACAGACCAAAAACTCTTTGGCTAGAACAATTTGTTTTACTCACCAAATTGCTATAAGCTATATCATCAAAACACTTTTTACAGCCAGTACGAGTTGTTTGTATCAGCTTATGAGTTGTTTATATCAGCGGGACCCTTAATTTTTGACCAAACTTGAGTCCCGAGCAAGGATCTGCTATTAGAGCAAAGCCACAAAGATAAGGACGGGAGAAGGCAAGACCACGGGGCTGTAATTCCATCCCCCAGGCCCTGCACTGTCCCTAATAACACAGGGTGCAGTTGCATGAAACAGCAAGCCACACTCCATCGCTGTGAAAAGAACTGGTCTCTTAAAATTTCCTTGATCTGCTCTCCAGGCACCCAGTTAAATTTTCCTGGTGATAACTCTCCATTGCTGACATCGAACTTCCCATTTAGCAGACTCGACTCACCCAGCAGAAAAGGGTTTTCTTGGGTGAGTCGCAGCAGCTCAGGAACATCAGAGCTGACACAAAGAGGAGGGCAGAGTTTTTTGTTGTCAGTTAGCAGGGAGAGCTGTGCAGGCTTCAGTTGAGTTTCCTGGGTAGAAGTTATGAAATCCAAACAACCCAGAAGCTGGTTGGCAACCACTGAAGGTGTCCAGGCCTTCCCCTGACCCTGAAGAGTACGAGCAGCAAGTACAGATCAGCACAAAGACGGTGGAACAGGGGAAGGGTAGACTGAAATAGTATTTAGTTTTTCACACAGTATTTAACAATCTGTTAAGCAGGGAATTAATTCATGGTAGGATTTCAAATTATAGTATAACTTTACAGTTTTTCACAGTAATTGGCTGAAAATTTTGATGCTTACAGTATTTATCCTTCCAAAACAGATAAGACTGGACAAAGTTAACTATTTTTTTTTATCTTAAGAATTCCTTAACTGATGCAACTGTCCCTGAATTATGACTTGTATTATGAGAAACAACCATTCAGTGTTGTGCATTTGGATTAAAATTTTTCAGGATCGAAATTCCTGCTGAAACATGTAAAGAGGTCAGGGTTAAACTGACAAAAGGTGCTTTTTTAAAAACAAGAAAATTTGAATTTATACTTTCCACTGATTACCATCATATTCAGATAAGCATGGTTCAAAGTTCCCCAGCTCCCCTCCCTGTAGAGTTGTTTGCTAGACATATCCAAAATCCAACGTTCTGTTGCTGGGTGTAAATGGAAAATTACTTTCAAATTTAAAGCAAACATACACTTTGCTCTTTTTGCAACAACTGGAAGGTCAGTTGAGAAGCACTGTCTTTCCTCAATTAAAAAACATGCAGGTTTCTCTGTGCAGTTTCCACTGAGTTGTTTGCAAAAACAAGGACAGACATTCAAACACAAATTTCACCTTTTATTTCCACTTTATTGTTTTGCATCTTTAACACAGGACTGGGAAAAAAAAAAAGGGCTGGAGGGTGAAAGAGATTTGTTTATTGTTTACTGTTTAACTTACAAGTTAAACAGCCCGACTCCTCATGAGATTTAAAAGCTACAAAGCCCAGAACACACCTTCCAAGGGCTCCTGGTGGTTTGTGGGCCTTTGTGCAAGGGGATGCTCATGCCAATGTTCATTTCATGAAGACATCACCATTCCCTGAGCATGTCCCAAGGTTTGCATGAGGAGCCATCCACTGTGGCTCTTCCAAAGAAGAAAATCAGAGTAAAAAACCTTCCTCTGATTGCCTGTCTTTCTGCTTGTTTCTTCCTCAGCCTTTAAAACCCAGTTCCAAGAAACCTCCCACACCATCTTGACATTGCTATTGCAAATTCTGCCAGTTAATGGTAACTCCTGGGAAATTAACTTGTCTTGTATATAAAGATAATGACAGGGTGACTAACATGGTAATTCTTAGAAAACATAGAAGGAATCTTGAAAATCTTTTTGGTTAGCATGTAGATAAAAGCTGGCTGACGTGAGATGAAATGCACACCTCATCCAAACTAAATCACTAATCCTCTAATTTTTCACATCACAGAAAGGCAGAATGACTGCACTGTAGAATCATAGAATCACTGAAATTGGAAAAGGCCTCCAAGATCATCAAGTCTAACCTTTAATGGATGAGAGACAACTATACACCAAGCAGCTGAAAAAAACATGGAGATGGAAAAAATATCAAGAATTTATCTTGATATTACATAAATATTTACTGCTTCAATTTAGGATTTATGGAATTTCACTCTCTCTTTCTCTTTTTAATTTTTTTTTTTGATAATTGCTTCTTTTCAATCTTATTTTCTTTTAAGTGCCACAGTTGTTGAAACAGCCAACTGGGACAACTATAATTTTAAAAAATGCCACTTTGCGAATTGTCATGGATGATTTTGTTCAGGGATACTGTGAAATGCTTGTGCTCATATGGTATCAATAGGTGTAGATTTAACAGATGCTTCATTGCTGTGTTTTAAACTATGCTAAGTTCTTGTTCATATTTAAGAGGACCAAAAAGAGTTAAAGAAATGCAATCTCCTATGGGAGATTGCATTTTAATATCTTTACTGGATCATGTAAATGCTAATGTATCATGGCATTGTATTTTTCAGACTATATTTTCATTTTCAGTCTGGATTTCCTCTTTTTGTAAGAGCCATAGAAGTTGATAATTTCTCATGCACCTTAGGAGATCCACAAGGAAGGGTCTATCTTCAGGAAATGTGTCATGATAATGTTCATTTGTAGTTTGAAACTGTAAATTTTCTTGCAAGAGTCTTTCTAAATAGCTATTTTCTTGTAGTCATTAGTCTTTGTGGTGTCTGAGTGTCTTTCATGTAAGTATACTTAATAATTACATTTTTATTCTCTCTCTCCAGCGTGAAAATAATTTGAAGTGATTGTTAGGATTAACCAATGTTAAATGTGTACAAAATTACAGTATCTTTCTAGTTTTGAGGTGCTTGGAGAGGACAAATATGTTTTACACTACACCATAAAATGGTGAGAATCTGATATAATCTGAGAAATATACCATCCATGGCAATCAATGAAAAATAAGATAATCCATTACCAGATTAATGATATCCAGACACTGGGAAAAAAGTATTTACTCTACATAAAAACTTAAAACCACATTGAAACGCTTTTTTCTACAAAGAAGAAAAAATATTTTTAAAATTAAAAACCACACATATTTCAAACTAAAATTCCAATGAGATAGTGCGGATTTGTAAAATCTTTAATAGCAAATATTTGGGGGGTTTTCTGGTGTTTTGAAATAAGCATCATCTCTGCACCCTACATTTCAGAATATTCATAAGGTAGTATGCAATAATATTACAACCATTTCATTTTTACAGTTGAGTAATCACTTCTTTTTTTAGTGACTGATACATGGCAAGATCAAGGGCTGCAGACAGATGAAGACCACAAATGTTCCAGCTGACCTCACTTTCCAAAATGCATCATTCCCACAAATAAACATCATTAAACATAAGCAGGCTGTCAAATTACAGAATTAAAACATAATCCTGCATTACTCAAGTGAGACGTTGGTTATTAGCAGGTCTACTGACTCCAGGAAACTGTTTACATGAATAAAGATTTCTGGGGTTGCGCTTTTGCAACATATTCCAAAGCCAGCCTGCAAAGTAAATAGTCTGATTAACTGACTCCTAGCTTAGGCGGCTGTTTTACCGTGACAAAGAGAAGTTTTATCTTAATGCCGAATATCTCACACTCCCCCACAAACGGCAGCACACGGGAGCGGAGCCTGGTTTAACTCCGGCGAGCACTGAATCACATCCGAGCCTATTTTAGAATTAAACGGAAGATGACCTCGTTACCTGGGTCCCTCCTACGTCGCCGGGAAAGCACTTGGGGACGGAGCCAGGCTTTGCTATCAGCAGCTAAAGCCCAACCACGTTAAAAACAAAACCCAAACCGAGCAAAAACCCCCTTTTGTTGCATTGGTGTAAGGTCCTGTTACTAATCTGTCTGTGGCACAAATCCCTCCTGAGAAGCAGTTTTACCCGAGTCGACTTGCAAGTGGCTTGAAAATGTTCACTTACACCCTCCCTTAGGAGTTTAATACATCAGGAACTTATCCATATGTTTTCCTACTTTTTAAAAGCAGATATCCTTATTTTCCCCTCCACCATGAGACACCATTAATGAAACACCAGTTAAAAATATCTTCTAAAGATTTAAATTACCCCATTAGAGACTCTCCTCTTAGAATGAACAACAGAAAAGGCACATATTAATTATTTGAGTTATGAAAACAGATCAAACCATTAAAAGGAAAAAAACATTTCCTTCTTTAGCAAAGAGTATATTTTCCTATAAATGTGTTTATTCAGAGATGCAAATATTCTAACAAAATTTTTCCAAATGTTAAAAAACTAACTCGTGCTTATATTTTATTTTTCTGTTCCAAACCAGTAACAGTCCAAATCTGTTCCAAAGCAAAAGGTGATGTTCAGCAGCAGTTTAATGAATTGCTTTGACCGAGTGAAATACACCATGTCCACTCCCAGTAATGAGACACTTGGCAGAAAGTATCACATCACAGGAACAATAGCAGCAGACTGTCATTATGGGCCACAAAACACCGTCACCTCTGAGTAATCTCTCTTCAAACAATGGAGGGGGAGATCAAGTAACATTTCTACTCAGCCAACTGCATGTGCAGTTGGTGGTGGCAGTGCTTTGGCCTGTAACACTTCCAGTTTCTATGCATTTTGATGATAGTAAAAGGTTTGTAAATATTTGAATTTCCTTTTTTCTTAACACACCTTTGCTAGTTAGACGTAAAGCTCATGCTGTTTTCTGCCTTACAGAGACTTTTGATTAAACAACAAATGTTTATTGTTAAATACACTAAACTATCATCACAGTATCATGGAGATGACATGTTTACTCATGTAACATTTTAATTAGATTTAGTGTGAAGTAGACAGGAAATCAGTCGGGGTTTATGGCTTTATCATATTTTGATGTAATTACCACTGTCTGTTATTGGAGCAGACACTACAGCCCTACACGTATATGATCTGATGTTTAAAAGAATATGACACAGGAGAAGTGGAAGGGAAAATGGCAAGTAGGTATCTATAACTAAAAACCTGGTCACAGACATCATGTCATGCCCAACTACAATGAACAGCGATGAGACACAACAGGTGAGAAAACAAAGGGACAGAAACCGCAGAGCGGGAAGGCTGAGCCTTGGGAGACCATGGTGAGATTTGACTGAATGCGTACATGCAAAAATCCTGACTTCACCCTTAGAGTTTTGTAATAACACTGCAATGATCTTGCTGTATTTTCTCTTGGAGGGGATCACGGGTAATGGAACAATTGCCATCAGGACACAGAGGCACAAGACAAGGCTCACAGCTCCAGTCTCAGATGCTACTTTAACTGAAGGCCTCAAGAAAACTGGAGATCATTCTAAAAATAAGTTATTTTTGTGACTTAGAAAGCACAGTTTCTACAGTTCTAATATATGCACTGAACCTCAAGATAATTTTTCTGATTTATTTTTCTTTTTTAAATACAAACTGCATATCTCAGTAGAGGATAATGGACTGGCACATGTTACATAAATAGTACATCTGCCAGGGATTGAAAGACTTCCATTCAGACTTGTTGTGCCATACCTTAAAAAGGCACATGTGTACAGCTATTCCAGACAAATACAATTTGATAAGTGCAAAGTAGGTCATCCTTTTTCCTGCATCAATGTCAAAAAGCATCTTTTTAGACTTAATTATTTTTCTATATGCATTTTATAAAATAATTTAAAAATAAAAAACACAAATCTGGGAGTAGACATATTTTAATCAAAAATACGCTTTGTTCCTTAATTGAATTTATTATTCAATTTCATAAATGGGAAACACTGTAATCTATACTTCTTACTCTGGATAGTACCTCAGCATATGATAAAAGTGCATCCTGTGAGGGAATGTATCACCTATCACTCATGGTTCACAAAATACCAAAAAAGCAGCTCAAAGTCATAGCTAAAAGGGCAAGTGTTAGGGCACACACTGAATTACCCCAAAATTAAGAGCAGAAAAAAGCATTATTTAATCAACAGGTAGGGACTTTTCAAGCAACCTGATTAAAAGGAACACCATTTGTGTTTTAAGGTGTTTAATTTTGAGCAGTAAGTACTTTGTGCACGCATGTGTTGCCGCTTTTACATCTGTTTTCATTCACTTGCTTGTGACTTGTACTTAAGCAGAAATTACAAAACAGGGAAAGGACATGCACAGGTCTTGGAAAGCAGCATCCCAGACCGTGCAAGTGCAGTCATTCATTACTTGGAGACAAAGCCTGAAGGTTTCCCCACGAGACAGAGGGAATGTCTGCAGGTGTTGCACACAGGGTACCACATCCTGCACTGCAGCCAACACACAAACAAGTAGCCCTGACCGTAGTTTTACTCTCCTCCCTATGCCTCATAGAGAGTCCCCTTTAATTTTCCTACTTTTCCTAGTTTTTCCTAGTTTTCCTCTTTGCAGTTGTTAATCACGCAATCTGATTCTTATCACCACCAGCACAGCTGGCCATTAATCACATTCTGGAAGAGGCTGGGCCCATCAGCAGCACCAGGGCTGCACATAAACTTTCTAACATGATTGTACAGAGGAAGCTAATGGGCAGCTATGCACAACACAAGCAATTCTGGCTAAATGGACTCCTGGTGCAAATCCATTATGGTCAGTAGAATTATTTCTAGGATGAATGTGGCTCCAGATGCTTATTGATTACTGAAGAAAATTTGCACACTGAGTATTTTATTTATTAAGTTTCTTATGTAGGCAGCTGTTAAGATCAATGCTGGAATAATAGTAAAAGTTCCATTTTCATTCAAATATCTCCTGAGGTTTTGTGTGTTGTACCTACAACATAGAGCTCAATCAAAATCTCACAATGCTTACTTTAAATTACTAATTAACGGAGTTAGTGGAAATACCCAGAATATTAGTATTAATAGTAGTATTCATTTTAACAGACATAGAGACAGCAATATTAGCAGAGCAGCCCAAATTATGGACCTGAATTTCATGGTCAAGAGTCACCTAAAATATAAAACTCAAAGATGGCTTCCAAATTAAATCTTAGGGAACTTGCCATCTAAGTATCAGACAAGAGACAACAGATGGACTCAGACAGAAAAGGGGGGGTGTACAAGGAAAGAGGAGACAATGTTGGCCAGCACTGTAGGGAGCACCATATCAGTGCACCAGCTGCCCGCCTGCCTCAGGAGTCCTTATTTCCTGAAGGAACAAAGTCAGTTTGCCAGTGTCAGTTTTATTCATTACTGTAGGACTGCCAACACTTTTTTTTTCCTCCTGAAAGACAAAAAGGTGTACATCGTGTAAAGCCCAATAAATATAACACGAGTCTCACTGAAGTCTTCAAAAATTACATCAGCGGCATGGGCGGGGTCAAGATTTTGCTCAGGTATTTTCCCATTTCTTCAAATACTGTTTACACATGCACCCACGTTCCCTCAAAAGCAAGTACGTGGAGATCAAAATTTACTGAGAAAATTATTAAAAAAACCCAAACAAAACTGAATTGTCAGTGTGTTTCCATTCATCATTACGCACCATAAAGACATGGAAATCAGCTTTTTTATAGCCTGGCATGATGACAGCTATTTATTTGTGAACTTAAAAGTAGTATAAATATTTTTGGTTTAACGTATGAAACGTGACTATCAGTGATCAACCATTCTTTACCATTTAAATGCATTTCTTCAGCAGATGCAAATTCATGTCTTATACTAGAAACTAATAACTATTTCACAGCAGGGTATGAGTTGCTTCTCATTCAGTTTTTATTAAATAGTTGTATCTATTACATGTGTGAAAGATTACTTTGAATGCTTATATGAGGCTTTTAAGCCAGAATAGCATTGCACTCAGCAGACGATACGGAAAAGCACCAGTTTAATTCAATAATTAACTTTCTCATGCTTCAATTCCAAGCTCAAAATACTATCTTTAATTAAAAATACAATAGGAAATTGCCTAGTTATCTAGTTCTTTAACAGTGTACTTCTTAGTGTAAGGCACTTAAAACTAATTTAATCACTGTCTGTAGTCGTTACACTAAGTCGTACTTAAAAATGAGCTGGTTAACTCATGTCCCTTAACTGATTTGCTTTATATACCTAAGTAAAAAATTCAGCTCCTGGCTCCATTTATGATCAGTGATGGAGCATCTTTTTTTGCAGCAACCTGGTTATTAATCCTTTTCCCCTTTAATTTCAGTGACTGTGTCTTGTACCTTTCAACAGTAGCCTCAGAAATGCCTTCTGGGCCAGCAGACTCGGCTCTGTCATTTCCAGCATCATCTGCATTTGCATTATTTACAATGACTTTACCCTGCCTTTTGTACTTTGTTACCCTCACTAAGTCAATGTGTAATCAGACTTACTCATTAAAATGGCTTTGGTGAAGCTCCTTTCTGAAT